GAAATCCTTTTTGTTGTGGCATTCATGCATATGAAAAGTTGCAGAGCACACACACAAATTCACACACACATATGCGTGCGAAAAAAGGAAAAACGCCGCCATATTTCCGGCGCACATTCAAAGCTTCCAAATGTGGACAGGCACTCTCGATTCGTTGCTATATAAAATATTAAATTGCAAAATGAATTTTATTCAAAATGCTTTGCAAAATTATCGTTTCTTCTTCTCTTTTTCTTTATACAAGTATTTCTTCCTCCATTTTATTTTTGGCTAGCAACGCATTTGACTTTTTCTATTACATATACATACGTACATCTCTTTGCTTGTTGTTTTTGGGTTGGGCGTGGACTCACTAACACACACACGCACATATCCTTCTTCGCATTTTGCATTGACATACACACACACTTATATAACGGAAGCAGCATTTTCATGGCCCGCAGCTATGAAAAAAACGCCACTTGATGTTGCCCAACAGTTGAACTTTTCACCAAGACCTAAAACTACAGCCGCCGGCATGGCCGAAACTAATGTCAATATGTGTATTTAAAATATTTTAAGTAAACACATCAGTTAGCTAATATAAACTGAAGGCTTCGGCTTCGTTGAGAAATTTATAAATGCTTGAATATTTAATAAAACTTTAACTCTATAAATGTAAATTGCGTAGATTCTATTAAATTTAGGGCGGAACCGAATTAAAAAAGGCTTTTAAGATCAGTGTTTTGGCCGCCTTAATATTAAAGAAACATATATTTATATTGATTTTAGGAAGATATTGTTACTTCTCTCTCTAACTGTTTACTGCTTGTACCCCAAGACATTTTGGTTGATATTTTTGCCAGCACCAGAACAGTTTTAAAATATATATGTATGAGTATTAGAGTATATCGCGTTGACTTGTCTGACAAATAATATATTATTTAATAGACAAATGAGTACTTCTACTGTTCTTACTTCTCAATTACTTACTCTAGGTATTAATTTATTCATTTTAATGAAAAAATTATATTTTACAGTTTCTTTAAGCATGATGTTTATTTATGGTCCATATTGCAAGTTTTTAAAAACTAGTTGGTCATTTAAATTTGCAATAAACTCAACAATCTTGCAATACAAGTATTATTTAAAATATTTTCTGACCATTTTTCTTCAATGATAAAATTACACAGGAAATCTTTATAAAAAAACAAAATCTGCGCTATTAAACAAAATTTTGTAATTCTTTTTGGGACAAAAAAAACCGTTCGTTATCCAGCCTTAGATAATATTAATCCCAAGATTGTTAAATTTCTTACTTAAATAAAATGAACACAAACCCTTAAACAATTTATAATTTATTTTTGAGAGCAAAAAACATTTTATTATCCAACACTTAGATAATATTGAATTTAAATTGTAAATTTTCTATCTTAAATAAAACAAAGCCAAACTTTGAACAATTTATTATTTCTTTAATGTGCATTAAATAAGTTGCTGCTGCACAAAACCTATGTTTTTCTTCTTTTTCTTCACTTTTGAAAACAATATTGTTTTATTTTTGGCTTAAAAACAGGGCTGGCTTAAAACAACAAATGGGGCTGTTGACAAAAGCAAATAAAGGATGAAAAGTTACAGTTTTTCAATTTTATTTTAAAATGTTTATACGTGAGATTTAGAAAGAATTCAATACAATGCATTTTGATTGCATTGCCAGCATTTGTCTTAAATTACACGCATCAGTCCTAATTGTGCACATTGTTGACCTTAGCATGACGTTAAGGATGAGTAGCAAATCTCTGCTCGCATTTTATCCTTAAGAAAAGTACAAATTTTGAAATTCGCATCAAAACTGTTTAAGTAAATATAACAAAATGGGCCATTCTCAGTAGTTATTGGGGGAGCATGGCTTAGAATTTCTGTCAGTTGTTTATGTGGTTTTCCGTATTTTTCACAATTTACTAGCCCCATAAAGCTTTTAAAGTCTTTTGGGGGCTTAAATGACATTTAACTTTCTTCTTACTCTGTACTTTTATCCGAATACATTCTGGGAAGGGTGCTGGGTTGAGTTTTTTTGTTTCTTATTTTTTTGCAAAGGCTTTGTTGGAGCCCGGTCAGTTGTGCCTTGAAGACAATTTGTCCTACAATTTAATTAGAGCAACGCTGCTCGAATGGGCAGTGTCAGCGTCAGCGTCAAGTCTTTTTCATGCCTTGTTTTTATTGGAGCATTTTATGTATAAACGCAACAGCAGCAACAACAGATGCCCCCAACGACATGCTGCTACTCCAACCATTACGTACGTACTCGTATATTCGTACTGTGTTGGATGCCCCCCATCAACTTTAACTTACCATTACTAATTGTAGAGCGAGCCTTGGATGCTGCTGCCCAGGCTTTGCCTTATACGAGTATTTTACTAAACTGTTGTCGTTGTATGGGTACGAGGGGATGACTGTCTGTATGTGTGTGTGTGTGTGTGTGTGTGTGTGTGTGTGTGTGTGTGTATGGGTGTGTTGTAGGCAATGCTTGAGTAAGTCCTGTGCTACTACTCCTACTGCTACACCCCCATCACAAGCAATGGGCCGGCCTTTCACCCACTCCACCTACTGTGTGCGCAAACTTGGAAAGTTAATTAATGACATTTACTGGATACCTCTGAAAACTAATTATGCATAAAATAGCTTAGGTATTATTGCAAACCAACTATAAATTTCACAAACTGTGCAACAATAATGAAAACAACAATAGCCGTAACAGAGGAACAACACCAGCAATAACAACAGCAACAACAACAGCCAAAGCAAAAACACGCTATTGAATGGGGCCTGCGTTTTGCGACTGGGACTTGCCAAATCGATTAGAACAACAGGCAAGAGCGTACAACGGTGAGGCAATTACCAAAGAGCCGCCATTCTCCGACATCTCCAGTGACACTCGGGTGTGAGTATGTGTAGGTGTACGTGTGTGTGTGAGTGTGGGTGTGTGTGTGTTCTTTTATAACAACAGCGACACCAAGTACGCCAGCAAATCGGCAATTAATCAAGCTCGAAGTGCGAGGGAGGAACAGCAACTGTCGCTCGGCACTTTAACAATATTTATACTGGGTGCAAAAACGAAGGGACAACAAACAAAGCACTGTAGAGGAATGAACAGCAGCAGAAGCAGGCAGGAACAACAGCCAAAGGAGAGGCAGAAGCAGAAGCAGAAGGAGCAGGAGAAGCAGAAGCGGGCGGACCAATGACTGTTGCTGCTTCCAACGGTGTAGACGCCGCTCAACTTTCATGTAAACGGAAACTAAGGTCCTATGCTGAAGAGAGAGAGACACAAGACTTAAAGCCCAAGCCAGGATGCAGGATGCTCCATGAGTTGAACAAGAAAACCCGCTAGGCAAAATTTATTTCGCTACGGCCCGGCCACATAATTAATCATTTTAATTAATAGGACAGGTGCGCGTCCACATGCCGGGCAGTTAGGGGAGCGGTTGTTATGTGAGTGTTTCTACTTCCAATTCCAGAATATGCCACAGGTTGTTGTCTTCCTCAAGATGAGGTAATGCGAGACGTTTTCACAAGTGTTGTCAATTTCCTGCCAACTATAATGACTTTCTAGCGTTGATAGCGCAGGTAAAATGAGATCGTTTCATTTCATTCGAAATATTTCCAGAAAATACTTAATAATAAATAGCTAGGAAATTCAAGCCCAACGAATAGTAATTATTTGATCAAACTTCAATGAAATTGTTATTACATTTTAAATTTAATTTAAATTTATTTCAATCGTGTTATGCTTGGGGAAAAGAGGCTAATTATTTGGGCACAAATACATTCAATTCATGAAGTAGCCTGTCGCTATTTTTACAAATCAAAATCACTTTTTGATTTAAATGAAGTAAGCTTCTTAGCGTACTATTAATATTTTAGTTAGCCGACCGCAGCTTATAGATTTTAAATATCAAGAAACTCAGCAGGCAACAAATCTATGTAGGGTCTAGACACAAACTGTTTATGAATCTTTACTATATTTGCATAAATATATTTTCACATCTGCTACATATCTTTCAATTATGAAAAGTAGAAAAAAATTTAATTTATATATACTTCGATTTAGTTTAAATAATGTAATTAGAAAATGTCGTTAAGTACTATATGTCGTTGATAGAAAATACAATTTAGAAAATATATATTTCTTTTTCGAGTGCAAATAGAAATTGAAGATTTTAATAACAGCTAGTTCAGAAAAAATGAAAACGATCCAATATAGTGATATAAGTTTTATTCATCTGCACTGAAGCTATATGCCCTTTACTGCATTTTACAGTTATATTTGAATTCTGCATAGTCATGGATCCTATATAGTATATTTAGCATTATCACCATTCGCGGCCCACAAACGATACAACACTGCAATTTGGTTCCCATATTTTTAGAAACGAAACCTTTTGTGATGCAATGACTACTTTAAAATCCTATCGTTTTCATGACAGCTTTAAGTCTATGGTATATTAATCTGATTTGGTCGCTCTCAACATAATATCTGAATGAAATCTTGGTGCAAAGTTTTATCGCGATGGCAGGTGTACTGATCGAAACACGGAGACGGCCTGGCCGATTTGGATTCATCTTTTCATGCTTTTCATACTTATATAAGATAACGTATTATCTACCAATCTTCGGACTTTATGTTAGAAACACACAAACCAAACATATACCATTACACTTTTCAGAGATGGGTATACAAATAATAACAGCATAAAATAATAATCCCAAAATGATTCGTAAGTTCTTGACCTCCCAAGCTACATATACCGATTAGATCTGCCAAAAGGCTTTTCTCATTTTTATGGAAACATTTTAAATGGAAAACTTGCAGTTGAAGTATGTTGTATAATTGAAAAATCTATATCAATTATACAAGCTGCACTTTTAATAATAACTTCGTGAAGTAATGCGCATTTTTATAATGCGGCATTGTCACCACTCTTTCTCACGTTGCTTTCTTGTTGTTCTTCATCCCATTACAGACGCGCCATCTTGGGCAACGTTGATGTGACTGGCGGCGAAGGAGAAGGAGCAGGCGAAGGCGAAGGCGCAGGGGACAGCTATGGCGTCAGTTCACTGCTGTTGCACGACTACTGGGGCACTGCGTTGACGGACAGCGGCTCCCATGGCTCCTGGCGACCACTGTGCGTGCTGAGCTTCCGCCTTAATTTCCTGCTTGGCGGCCTGAACAGCTTTGGCTTCCATTTGGCCAATGTTCTGCTGCATTGTGTGGCCACGGCGCTGGTGGTGAGTGTGGCACGCACTCTTCTACCGGCTCGGAACGTTGTTGGTGTGCTGGCCGCGGGCGCCCTCTTCGCCGTTCATCCCACACATACGGAGGCGGTGGCTGGTCTGGTGGGACGCGCCGATTTGGCCGCTTGCGTATGCTATCTGCTCACATACCTCACATACCGCCGGCACATGTGTTGGAGGGCGCGCGGCGAGCAACGCCAATGGCTGGCGTTGGCGTTGACGCTGCTTCTGGCGCTTGCCGCACTGCTCTGCAAAGAGACCGCAATTACAGCTCTGCTACTCTGCGGCCTATGCGATGTGCTTAGGCTGCGGCATGCGGACAAGGTGAGTGACAGTCCCACAGCAAATACAAATGAACACCAACAAACCCAACCCCAGAAGACTCCAAAGCACACTACATAAGCCATAGGCAGAATTTTTCATTTCCAATGAAACAAATTTGGGTTTCATGTCTAGAACTAAAATGATCTAAAGCTCGAGTATATATAGTTTCAAATATTTACAGATTTCAATGAATTTCTTAGCTTTAAAGAAATCCTAATTTATTATACGTATTAAACCAGAAAGAAATTCTAAATTATTCCAGCTATTACATGATTTATTAATTCTTCAAGCTTGTTTATTCGACAGTCAATGTTTGTCGACATAAATATAAATAAATAAAAACATATATTCGACGCTATCAATGAGATATTGTTGAGCTTCAATTCCAGGATGTATAGTTTCAATTTGTTTATGTTATCTTTAAGAAATTTCTTCTACTACTCCTTTAATTTTATAAAATTAAATTACTACTGTAAATCTGATGCTGGAAAAATTTTAATTTTGTAATACTCTGACAAGGATATTTAGTTTTTAATGATAATTCATTTTCGGTTTTGTTTTCAGAATCTTAATTCTAATTTTTCTCTAGAACAATATTTTCAAATAATTACTTTTTTAATAATTAATTAGTTTCTAACAAAATGGCAACGCTATCTTATGTAGTATGATTTCCTCACAATATTTGGAAACATAAGTAATTCACTAATTTAAACGTATTATTTCTTTTTGTCTACAATTTAAAAACCGAATCGAACATGAATTTGAAAACGTAAAGAAAGTAAAAATAATAAATTTAAAACTTATGTTTATTTGGCAACAAACTTATTTTGTATTGTCACAAAGGAAAAGTTTTTCGTAATTTATTGATACACACTTTATTTTCAAAAAAAAAAATGATCACATATTTACAAGGGAGTAGGCAGGAGGGACAAAAAATTATGCCATATTACATGACCACACGTTCATTATTGAGACGCAATATTTTGCCTTAAAATGGATCTGAGTTGGATTTGTTGAAGTTTTCTCATTGATCATATTCATAAGTTATTTTTTAAATGCATCGTGCATTATTTAATCAAAATTTTGGCCCTCCCTTTGGTAAAAGCTGCCTACGCTCTTGCATATTTATCTTCATATTTATCTTAATTCTTTGTTTTTTATCTGTATACAATTAGCCATGGATTGTTCCAAGCTAGCAACTCTACTTGATATATTCTTGCAGCAACTCAAAGCCTCACTCTATTGCATTTATATCAAATCGAGTTGTTCTTGCATAGTTCTTTGAATAAAATTGATGGAAAGTATTCTAATATGCTGACCTTTGTAGGAGTTTTTAAACAAATAGTTTTTAATTTTCTGTATATATTATTAATATATTTGTTTTATAACCGTAACACATTCTTCATTGCCTTTCCTTTCAGCATCGCCTACGGTCGCTGTGCATCTTAAGTGCGGCCCTGGCCTGCGCCGTCTATTGCCGCCTCAGTTTGCTGCCGCGGCCGCAAAGCGCATTCGCAGCAGCGGACAACCCGACGGCGCACACGAACTGCTGGTGGACGCGCACACTGACATTCCTCTATCTGCCGGCGTTCAACTTCTGGCTGCTGCTCTGGCCGCAGGTGTTGAGCTTTGACTGGGGCATGGACGCAATACCCCGCATTACTACGTTCTGGGATAGTCGCAATGCGCTGAGCGCGAGCTTCTATGGCGCCGCTGCATTGCTCGTGTGGAAGTGCGCGCGTCTGCATGCGATGCCACCAAATAAGAATGGGAGCAACAACAACAGCAGCAACAGCAACAGCAATGTGAGCAGCAGAGGCAGCAGTAGGAATAGGAGCGGAAGCGGTAGTAGTAGTGGTAGTGGATGTGGAAGTGGAAGTGCTAGTAGCTCCGTAGACTATGCGGCTGTGGCCAGCAGCATTTCTTTGCCTATATTGCGGCGTTTGGGCGGCAGCGGTTGCTATGCCTGGCACGGCCTCAGCTGCCCATGCCCCTGTCAGCACCAGCTACGACATTTGCTCATGACCAGCAACAGTAAGAGTAGCAGCTCGAAACCCGCCGCTTCAGATACATCAACAACAACAACAGCCAGCGTGAGCTGCGTGCTGCTCTTGTCCTGTGCCTTTCTCGTGCTGCCTTTTGTGCCCGCAAGCAATCTGTTCTTCCATGTGGGCTTCGTGGTCGCCGAGCGTCTGTTGTACCTGCCCAGCGTGGGCTATTGCCTGCTCATTGGCTATGGCTTCTCCAAGCTCTGGGCACGTTTGCCTTCCGGCCGAAGCCAGTTGCTGCTGCTCTGCTGCTTTGGGCTGCTCCTGAGCGCCTACAGTGTGCGCACCGTGCGTCGCAACATGGACTGGCGGAATGAGGAGCAGTTATATGGCAGCGCCGTGCCGGTAAATCCACCAAAAGGTAAGTCGGCTACCTATTTAAGATGGGTCTTCAAAACACAAATTTCAATTACAAAACACGACATTCCGCTTTAAATTTGTTTAAAATTTAATTAAATTGATTCTTTTTTATGAGTATTTAGCATATTTAATCATTTCAGGTGTTATTATAAAAATTACAAAATAATATTTATTTTTTAATTTCAGTCACTCCCTCAAAAATTATTGATTAATTTAGAGTTTTATTTCACAAGTTACCTAAAAATCATTATTTTTGAGGAAAAAAATATTTTTGATAAAATAATGATTATTAGTTAAGACTCAAAAATAATTATTACATTTTGAGAGAATGAATAAAAATTAAAATTTTTTTAATCATGGTGAGAATGATATTCCTAAAAAAAGCATATTGGTGAATTCCTTGCTTTCTCAAAGCTTCTTGTAGTAGCTAAATGATTTCTTTGCTTTCAAAAAAAAAAAACCAAAGTAATCATTATTTGCGGTTCTTGGTATTTAGGGCCCGCTCGTCTTATTTGTTTCTATAAAGCGCACAATATTTGAATTATATTTTTGGAAATTAATTTAGCTTTATTTAATTACAATTATTAAACATTCCTTTTATCAAATGAGGAATCCGTTTAAAATGTAAATATTTGCATATAAAAATGCTTTGGAAATATATTAAAATAATTTTTTTTTCTATAATGCAGACAACCAGCAATGTTGTACCAAGTTGCCACAAAAATACAAATAAAACAGTTGTCGATAATTCCAATATAATTTCCAATTCGAATGAATAGGAAATATAAATTATTGTAATGACATCACGAATACTAGCAAGCGATTACCATTTTATTTGTTCACACCTCACCAACATTTAATCCAACAGCAATTGAATAACTGCCTTCCTTTTTCTCACCCACACATTCACCTTCTCTCTGATTTACAGCGCTCGGTAATTTGGGCAGCGTGCTGAGCTCTCAGGGGCGCTACGAGGAGGCCAAGCTGGCTCTAAATGCCGCCATCGCACATCGCCCCAACATGGCAGACGCGCACTTTAATTTGTAAGTAACTTGACCTTGTCTGTTATTATCATCCTTTTAGCTTGATATGGCCAATGCAGAGCAGCAGCGTCTCTGCTTGAAAACTGAGGCAAAATCCGCACGTTTAAATAGCACAAAAGCTGCAGACAGCAGGCAGCATGTAACAGTATTCAGCAAGTGGCCTGCCCTTTTAGCAGTTGCAGTCATTCGGCTGTCGCTGTCGACTTGGTTTGACTCAACTCGAATCGCTTCGCCTTCCATTTCTTTGGCACCCAACTGTCAGTCGGTGTGGCTCCCATGTCCATTTGTCTGTATGTCTGTATGTCGTGCCTGTCGTACTGTCGTTTGGCTGGCTTTTTCTGTGGCTGCCAAACATAAAACCCTCAAAATGATGTCAGTTTTTGCTCGCAGCCGCGCATCCTTTTCAAAATTCAAAAGCTCAAAGTGAATGGCTGCTGTTGCCGTTGCGTCTGCCGTGAATGCAAACGCAAACGCCAAAGTGCTGCACATATTGCCACGCGAGCTAGCCGCCCCCTGCCACCGCTTTCCCCGCAGCAACATTCCTCTGGAACGACCCAGCACCCGACCTTGGGCATGAGGGCCTTGGAGGCGCGTACACGGACGCGGGCTTAGAGCGCAATGGCAGCTGATTCAAGCGCACTTTACAAAAACGTTCGGACAACATCTGAAGGGGGAGCGAAGTGGAGTTAGCAAAAAGCTAGCTACCGTGCATACAAATCAACAGGACGCACACGTTTTGCATCTTTGGAAAGCAATTTACATGCACTCGGCAGCCATCAGCAGCCAATAGCTGTTGGTGGCCCCGGACATGAGGCATTGCTGCATTTTTTTTCTCTATTTTCTTAAACGAAACAACCTTTGAAACAATATTGCACGAAATACTTGTCAGCCGCTTACATCTTTCTCTGATGCGCCCTGCATTGAAGTGCTGCTGCATGTGTTGCCGTTGGCCATCATTTGTGCTCCTTTCATGCAACCACAGGAAACATATACATATAAGATAATGTAGCATATGCATGTGAACATTCATTTGCATCAGAAAGAGAAGTCGTTGCTTTTAGCCACTAATGAACGCATCATAAAAACAATAACAATTCTAGTGACTCATTGGTGATGCCGAGATTTCAAAGCTGTCATTAACCAGAGAGAAAAAAGTTACAAATTCATTTATTCGCATCAACACTAAAATTTTTGAAAAGGAAAAACCATTCGCAAAAATTCTCTCGAAAAAAAAAACACTAAAACGCTTTAAAGCCAAGGGTAACAAAAAAGTGGGAAAAAACTTTCAATTTGTTGCATAAAAACCAAATTCAATTTGATTTTATGCGCAGATGCATACACGTACAATTTTACAATTTTCGACTGATATCAGATGACAAAATGCTAAGCTAGGCGTGAAGAGGAATTTAATAGTTTTTCATAAACTGTTTGTAGTATTTTTTGGTTATGTAATTATCAATATGGAACGTCTATGTTTTGGCTATCCTATTAGTAATATTTGTTATTTTATATTTAAAATGCTTTGACACAACAAATCGGACAATAAAACTAAGTACTTTTTTCAAACACTGCTATAACAGCTCTGGGCATGATTTAGAATTGTAATGTATATGTCCATATGTAAAGTTATAATATTTAAACAACATTTAAATGATGACAATAGTGTGTTTCATTCCATAAGGTGATTTTCCAGATGATTAATTTGTTCGGACTCCACGACAGTTCTATTGACGACTCTCTCTAACGACTGCTCTCTTCCCTTGTGTCTGTTGTCAGTCTGCTTTGTAGCTTTGTCGCTCTACGTGTATCGCCTGTCCCCCTGTAACTCGCTTAATTGCATAGTGTTTTCATTTATTTTCTGGGAGGTGACAAGGCAATTAGCAAATAGACGAAATTATAAAGCTTATAGATTCAAGCGACGACGTGTTTTTTGCGGACGTTGCGACAAACTCATCGACAGATCATCCGATATGCGCCTTGGGCGTTAAATTAACTTCATTTTTACGATAAATTGCTTAAATAAATGAATGTAAATGTAAATAAATGTAAATCATAACCATTCGAATATTTCGCTTTCAAGTAGAACGCTCATTAATATTACCCATACGACCCATGGGATGAGGTAACTCATCATGCATTTATTGTTGCCTACTTTTCGGCTGATGTTGAAATATATGCGCAGATGTTTGATTTTTAAAACCGAAGCATAACAGCATATCGAATGCAACCATTACACGTCTCAGCGAGCACAATCCCTGCAATGCTATCATTTTGCTACCCACATGCTGCAACGAGCAGGGCATTAGCTGCTTGAGCACTCTTAAGTTGCAGCTGCATATATTGCTTTTTCAGAAAACAAATCTATTCCAGTTGCCTAATAAATAAACCAAATCCCGGGCAAAAATGTTGCTGATTTTGCGCCGACAATAGCAACAACTACAAGAGCGAAAGCAAACAGCAATTGCTATGGCAACGGCAACGGCAGCCACGTTTGCAACTGTAACAAGCACATCAATTGGCATTTCTGCTGGCTGCATTTGATGCAACAATATGAGAAAATAAAACTGCTGACGCATGCCTCTGCCATCCTTTGGCGGTGGTAGCAGAACCATCAGCAGCAGTAGCAACAGCAGTAGCAACAGCAGTAGCGACCAACAGCTTAGGCCAATGACACTTCGGACACATACGAGCATCCCAGGCGACAGTGGTAGAGAAGCGGCAACGGAACTGACGCATATTGCAATTTACTTGTGCAACGAGCACTGCAGCTACAGCAGTAGCAGCAGTAGCAGTAAAAGCAGCAGTAACGGCGACCGCCAGCTGCGCTCCCATGAGGGCTGAGGCGCATTACGAGAGAAGCGCAAACAAGCACCAACATGCCAACGATGCTACACCAAATCGCAAGGTACCCGCTCCCAAGTGTTTGGAAGTGTGTGTGTGCACTCAAAGAAAAACTCTCAGAAGAACATTTCCAAATATTGCTAAATATCTTAAAAGTATGCTACCAGCGTTTAGTTTTTGCTCATAAAATGGTTAATTGAATCGAATTTTCCAGTCTATACAAATTAAAAGACTGTTGTAAACACATGTGGATATTTCATTTAGTGGACTTATAAGTGCTTTAATTATTAATTGATAAAGTTAGTATTTAGAACGCTTGCAAAATGGCTTACTTTAGTTTATAGAATGTGACTAATTCGCATAAAATTCAAGACCCACTGCAGAACTCAGTTTGGCGCCTTGACGGACGAATAATGACTCGACAGATTGCTCCATCGAATGATAGTTGCGATGTAAATTCCTTATCTTAGTCTGTAGAGATCGTATTATAAATAAGTATTTGAACAACTTTTAGGCAACAACAAGAAAAGCAAACGCACTTAGTCAGTTTGCAACCAAAGTTGGTTAAAAGAAAATAGAAAACCGCGATGTGCTTCCTCTTCCCTTAAGAATAATACATAATTGAATCGACATCAATAAATATTTTATAGCAAATTGTTGATGGTGTATTTTTCTGAGTGTATGCATCAGCAGCTCTGCGTGTTTGTATATGCGTGTATATCTGTCTTTTTGTCCTCTTGAATATGCAACGCGTCATTTTCATTTCAACTGCCTTTGCTTTTGCCTTCCTGTGCTGCACACTTTGCGCCAAGCAACGAAAGCAGCAGCCGCCATTGCTCATACGTCCTGTTGCCATTGTTGTTGCCGTTGTTGTTGCATGCCGCCAGCCGCCAGCCGCCATTGTTGTAGTTGTCGTTGTTGATTATTGTGTTTGACATAATAGGCTTTACGCTCCAAAAAAAAAAGAGCGAAAAAATGAGTAAAAGCAAAAGAAAATGGCATGCAAGCAATCCTTTCGCTTTGCTTCTTTGGCAAATTGTAGGAAAATCCTTTTTGCGCTCGTTTGCCAACTTTTTTTTTTTGTTACCCCTCTTACTTGTGCTTCCTGCCACTACTTGCTGCCCTTTTTTACTTTTTACTGTCAATCCACGCTCCACTCTGAGCCGCAGCTGCGTCGGCCCCCAGCCCCCATTCACAAACAGATAATTGCGCCAGTCTGACTACAGGACACAGGACAATGCAGCCTGATACATACTTCATTCATGGGCATAATCATATATTTCCGCACAACTCTGGCAGCAGGCAAATTGCCTTCGTTTACCGAAATTGTATAAGGCGTATAAAAAATGTGCGGATAAGCGTGGAAAATGCCTTAAAAGAGAACGATGTAAAAAGAATTGAAAGTATAGTAACTACAGCCAAAGAAAAAGTATGTGGCAAACAGAAAAAATCAGTTGACGACTTAGATGAAATTTCAAACAATGTCAATGGCACAAAAGCTGCGCGCCATGTCAACGTGCCACCCAGTGAGCCGACTTCATAACTGCTAAGGCTTCATGCGGCGCCAATTTATTAGAGCCTTGGCCCAGCACTGCCAGTGGCTTAAGTTTGTTAACCATGCTGCCCCAAGTTGCGCCCCCGTCCTGCCTATTGTTGTTTTTGCTTTTGCTTTTGCCATAAGTGGCAGCGTCACGGCCTGTCAAAGCGCATGAAGCCAACGATGGGTACTGGCAAAGGCAAAGATTTAGTAAAAGTTTCAACTTTAAAGAGCTTTACTCAGCCCATGAGCCCCTTACCCTCCCACCTCTATCCCTTTAGTCCTCCATCCCTCTATTGCTTATCAGGCACTCTTTCGCTCTCCTTTTCGCCGCTGCGCCTCAATGTTGTCTTTGCAGCTTATCGAAAAGTTGCCTGATTGAATTTTTCCGTCGTACAAACGACTACGAGGACTATCAGGGCTACGAGGACGTCCACTTGCATTATGCAGGCGGCTGCTGCGACGCTGCTAATCTCGACGCCAAAGTCTTTTGCACCTCGAGTGCAACGTGTGAAGTGTTTGCGCAACGCCCACGGGCATAAACGCCTGGCATTCATTTACATAAACACTTCATATGGCGGCGCCGGTGAGCAGTTTAAGGCTTTCGAGTGCTCTAGGTAATGGCAATAAAAAAATAAAAACAAGTTTTATGCAGCTTGCCGAATATGAAATACTCTTGCAAACATTGAAGAGCACTTTTTATGTAAAGCCAAGCCAACTATTTTGCTTGCATATAGAGTTGTTATTATCTGTATCTCTTTCTTTTCTGAACTCTACTATCATATTAGCAATCGTATATCTTTTACTATTTCTGCTGACTCTAAAGCCTTAAAAAAATTATGCATAACAATTTATTTTAGATAGTAATATTACTTTATTAATTACGAATATTGCTTAGGTGCGTAACGAACAAGTTGGAAGAGTTCTTATTCCCAATGTATTGCAGAATAGCGAGAGGAAGAGCGAGTGTTAATATTTAATCAATAGATCAACTTTTATCTTTATTTTTTTAAATATACTATCATATCACTAAGCATATTTCTGTTACTATTTTAATTCACTCTTAAGCTCTAAATAAAGAGGAATGTAATGAAAGCGACGCTCAGACTCTTCCTTAATTTTATATTATATCCTATGGCCTTAAAAACATATGCATAAACGTTCATTATAGATATACATATTTGCATTGTAATATTACTTTATTTATTACGAATATTACTAAGGTGCGTAGCGAACAAGTTGGAAAAGTTATTATTCCCAATAACAGTGTATTTTAAAATAAGGAAGACCGACTTTTAATATCTAAACAGTAGAACAACTTTTCAGTTCCTTTTTTTAAATACTATTATACCACGCATTATATTTGTGTTAGTATTTCTAATTGATATTAAGCTCTAAATAAATAAAGAGAAATTTAGTGAAAGGTTGGTGGCGCTCAGATTCTTCTAACATTTTATATGACGGCCTCAAAAAATGTTTGGAAATTTTAGCAAAGTAATATTACTTCATTAGTTACGGATATTGCTTAGGTGCGTAGCGAACAAGTTGGGAAAGTTCTTATTCCCCTATAACAGTGTATTACAAAATAAGGAAGAGCGAGTGAGTGCTCTGGAGAATGTCACATTTCCGGCCCTAATCGAAAATCAATGTCAGAACGCCCCACGCGCCCAGCAGCCCGTGCAGCTGCTGCCAATATGTGTGCATGTGTGTGTGTGTGTGTGTATGGGTGTGTGTGTTTGCCAAGGATAAGCAGCTGTTTGTACATTATTTACTCGTAAGCCATCAATACCCGCGCTCCAATGCCATCCACGTCGTACCTGCGGCTACAAATTTTCACTCCTGCACGTGTCCAACAACAATAACAGTAATAACAAAAAACGCACTGTGTCTATAGCCGAGGCAGCAGTCGGCAGTCAGCAGTCAGCAGTCAGGAGGCAGGAGGCAGACGCGGGGCACAAATGGGCAACCCTGAGCTGAGGGCATGCGTCTTCTCCCATGGCTCCCATGCCTCGCAGCTGTCATGGATTTGTTGCTGTGATTTTTAACTGCAAAATACCACAGCAAAAGCATTGCGAGTGAGGTACGGTGGGGTAAGGACGAAGCGCAGCGAAGCGTCCAAGTCAAAGTAACAGATACAACAACAACAACAACAAGAACAGCAACAGCGGCAACCAAACACCAAAACCAAAAAATCACTGAGCTGTATAATTCGATTTCTGTGCTTCACTCTTTTCCACTTTCAAATATGCTGTTAGCTTTTCATGCTCATCCTCTCGCATTGCTTGTTTTGTTGTTTGCTTACCTGCAGTTGGTGGATAAACGTGCAGCGTCCCGCCGCCTCCCAAAATCGAAACGAAAAAAATAGAACTAAAGTAGAGTAAAATCGGCACACGAAAAAAGACGGGGGGATACCTCTCCTAAATAAATAAAACAACATTTCTGCTTTTCTATATGTGTATGTACTACATATATAAAATAGAATACTCAATATTCAATTGGGCAAATCCATCCGCAGCACGGCTGCAATTCGCATGCAACGTTCGCTGGGTTCGATTCCTGTTCATGCGTTGCATGCAGCCTCTCACTGTAGCATACCAATGTTTTCATCATGACGATGGGGCAGGCAGTCAGGGGACTGGATGCGCTCAGAGCTGGCATAGAATGACGGTTGCGCTCACACAAAAACAAAATATACGAAATATACAAATAAAATATGCAGTCGCAGTCATCACATGGCGAGCGGCAATTGAAGAGTTTTTTCAATTTCATATTAAGTGTGATGGGGAATAAAAATGCATGCATATGAGCATATTTTGTCACATATAGTATCATGTTTTTTGTCACTTTAGCGAATATGATCCTTATGACAGTACCATTTCAAAATCCTTTATTAAAAATCGTGACGTTTTTTCTTTATTTTTTTATGTCTTTGAGGGTTTTTTTCCCTTTGTCATTAGCTTTTTATTAATGCTTCAAGAAGAAAGGCGTTTGCTCAACTGATTGTGAAATAAATTGTCGATTTTTACTTACGTTTTTTATGATTTGTAACAAAATAAATATTTATACTTTTACCATGCTCTATGATCTGTTTTTTTTCGGTTTGGTTGTATATTTTAAACATATTTTTGTTAAATAAATTTTTGCTACTATTGAATACAATTTCTCTGATCGTACATTATTTGTAGCTGATCATAAATTGCAGAAAAAAATTAACATTCTATATTCTTGGTACTTTCCTATAGAGAGCTCCATAGTCTGGCAAACTTAAGAGCAGAGTGAAAAACCAAATCTGAGTTCTATGGCCCACATTTTTCATGGCACACTAAACATAATTGGTAATATATTGCTGAGTGGTTTCTACAATATCCTCTTAAGCACATAGCACCATACCCAGATTGCAAAATAAATTAGCAAGCATATAAATTATGTTTTAGGAGAGACAATAAATTACAATTTTCTAACGCTTCCGAGCGACCTGTAATGAGAAGCAAACATTATTTTTCCTTCAATTTCTATTATTTTTGTACATGTATACACTTTTGTTTATGTAGGAATACAGTTTTGATTTCAGCTGCTTCAATTATTGCCAAAGAACTAGTAATCGAACATATTATTTTAAAAGACATTTAATGACGGGACTGTTGTTCAGTGACGGCTGGCTTGAGCCCTAAAACCCTTAGACGATTATAACATCTCATCTCTGTTGCTTTGCAAACAAATATAGCAGCAATATAGATATCCTCTCGCACACACTGAATACCACAGCATACTGTTTTGTGGCAAGTAAAAAGGAAATCTTGTCACATAGCATCCATCAATAACGCCCACAATTCATACAATCCGCCCTCGTTCAGTTACGCTTATTTGCTGGTCTTACCAAAACCGAAAACACGACTCGTTTGTTTGTTTAACTTGCCGTTGTTGTACTCGTATTTGTTGTTGTTGTTGTTGTTTGTACTTCTATGCAATCTGCGCTTAGGTTTATTTTGCCTGTGCCTTATTTTATTCTGTTCTGTTCTGTTTTGTTTTGTTACGTTACTTTTCGTTCTTTTGCTGCAAATAAAATGCTGCCTTTATTTAAAAGCACTTATTCATGCATATACGAACTTTGTGTTTATATCAAAAACCCGAACCAGACATGTGTATGCGTATATATGTGTATGTGTGTGTATGAATAACCAGCAACCAGCAGTTAAATGCTGGTAGTCGGCAGTCGGCAGTTGGCAGTTGGTAGTTGGCAGGCGGGACAGCCGGCATCAGCATCAGCATCGGCATTGATATTTGTTTACCCAACTCTCATGCCGTCGTCCCTCATCGTTCTATATAGTGCCATAGTCGTCGTCGTCGTCATCGTCAACGCCATCGCCGTCGCAACGTTTTACGGCCTCAACACATTTTTAGAACTTTACAGTGTGCAGCAGACCGACTACAGTTGCCTAAATGACTGCTGCTGCTGCTCCTGCTGCTATGGCCTGCTGTTTTTGTTAATTAAATGAAGCCGGGCGTTGCAGAATCAAAAACAAAAAGTATACAAACACACAAAAAGAAATATACCCGTAGAGATAGAAAAACAAAAAAAAACTATAGCACCGAAGAAAGATGCTTGAAGGTCAACATTTGAAGTATTTTTAACTGGTCCGCTGCAAATTAGGGAAGAGCAACCGCAACAAAACACAGCCAAAGTTAATTTACTTGGCACACTATTAGCATGACCTGCTTTTCATTTCGCCCTGCTGGGACTAAACTAGCAGCTGGGCTAAGTAACTGCACAGTTTTCTTCCTCCCTTTTTTTTGCTGCATTTTTAAACAAGCTGCTAGTTATGAACGGCAAGCGCCTTGCATAACTTGGCTCAAGTCGAAAGAGTAAAGAAAGAAAAACAAATAGAAAGATGGAAAAAGTGGCAGCAAAGATAGTTTCAACACTTTTTATATTGCATACTTTCAGGGGCATTGTGCATCAACAACAACAGAACTACAGCGCCGCCTTGCCCTGCTACAGGCGTGCGATTCAACTTCGCCCCCAACTGGCCACCGCCTATCTGAATCTGGGTACATCGTTGCTGGCTCTCGAACGGCACAAGGAGGCCGCCGAGGTGTTGCTCCTTGGCGCACGCCTTGAAGGGCGTGGCGTGCGTGATCGTGCCGCTCATGAGGAGGCACGCTATAGCGCTTATCTGCAGCTCGGTGCACTCTATCGCATACAAAACAAGCCGGAGAGGGCTTTAGACGTTTTCCGCGAAGCCCTGGACAACTTGCCGCTGCATCAGCAGCAGCGTGCAGTGCTGCATCAGCGTTTGGGCGATGTGCTGGGCGAACTACAGCAGTGGCATGCAGCAGAGTGGCATCATCGGACCGCGCTACAATTGCAGCCGCAACGTGGAGCGGCCTACGTGTCCTACGGCCTCACACTGGCCAGAAATGTACGTTCGCAAATAGTTCTTGTATCGTATAAAAATTACATTACATTTTTTTTGAACCCACAGAGCAGTCGATATGCCGAGGCGGAGCATTGGTTCAAACGTGCCCTGCAACTGGCACCGTCAGAGGCCAGCGCACATCATCATTACGGTAAGTTGGCGGTATTCAATATAAAAACCCACAATAAATGAATATGATTGAAATCATTTAAGCAAAAGTAAATCCCAAATCAGTACAATATTTTGTACTTTATTGGTCTAGAATGAAATTTGAAAATTAGCAAATACGTGTGCAAATTCTGGGACTATAAATTTGTAAAATATATTGGGCATATTAGGGTTTCTGCTTTCTCAGTAAGCTGTAAATATATGGTACGCGTAGATTGGGGGATGTTTAAGAAATATATGCAGTATTGCGAGGCGACTCGGTATAGAAAAGTCCGTCTGCCCGTATGAAGACCGAATACTTCTTGCCTAAGCTCAACCAACTTGATACGTAAACTGCCTTATCCATACACAGTTTATCAAATTTATCACAACCATATATAGTCTACGTATTTCATAAATCTGCTATCGGACCGATCAAAGAGCTCTTTAACAATAGGGTAACTTTTATCTATAAATATACGTGTATGCTAAGAAAATTTTCTACCTTTAAGTTATTTTTTAATAATGCCTCAACATAGTCTACAGTTTCATCAAAAGCAGTACTGCATAATACTTTTATTATTTAGGTATTTTCATTTTAATTTATTATTATTTTAAGTTAATTTGACGTCTTCCTTTTTTCATCTCCATTTCTTTTTGTGTTAGGTCCAATAACGTCTCTCTGCAGTGAATCGGGGTATAGCTGGCCGTTTGGCAAATAAAACCCCCCACCGAGTCGGATTCGTCATTAAATATTTTTGTAATTCCTATAGGCTCTTTTATTATTTAGTTTTGTTTAGTTTAAGCTCTCTATATTATTGATTTTTTTCCATCGACAGCTTTATCAATGAAATAAATAAAATAAAACGAAACAATAGGCACAACCAAGTTGCGAGGATAGGGCTAACTATTGTTTGTAACAACGGCTAAAAATTTTCTCACATCTTAATTTTTTTCATTTCATGAATGATTTATCAGAACAGTCAGAATCAAATCTTTCAAGCTATCTAATTTCATGCAACCCATCCTTTTAATGCTTATGTTGTCATATAAATAATAAAAGATAACTTAAACAATCGCTCTAAGAACAGCCTCCAATACTAACATGCCAAAATTAAAGATATAACTCTGATTTAATGTTATAGTTGTATAGTATATCCTTTGAAATTGAAAAACAACTACATTGCAATATAAAACTAAAACATGTCCTTTTCACGCAAACACCTTTCTCTCCTTCCAGCCGACTTCCTCGACCGTCAGGAGCGTCGCATCGAGGCACTTGCTTATCATCAGCGTGCGGCTGCGCTTGCGCCCTTGGACTATGCGCTACTTAGTGCTGTGGCCGACGCCCTGCGCCTCCTCAATCGACTTCCCGAGGCCGAACTCTGGTACCGCAAGGCGGCGGCGCTTCGACCACAGGCTGCGCATGCACATGCGAACTTGGGCGCCATACTCCAGATGCGGGGCTTCAAGCAACAAGCTGTGGACTGCTATCGCGAGGCACTGCGTCTGCAGCCTGGACACGCGACGAGTCGCGCAAATCTGGCGAAAATGAATGTGGATATCGATGCAAGCGCCTAGCGCCGGCTGACGTCATGCACAAGTTGACAGGGGCTTACCAAATGCACATGATTTATGTATATCCAATATTGTAAATAGTTATCCACATACATATACATATTTCGTATATCAGCTTAAACTACCTACATACATATATATTGTATATTGTTGACCAAAAGCCATAGAAATTTACGCAGTCTTCGCAACGCAAAAGCAAGACAGCGGCCTAATCTTAAGTGACAAACTATGTATAGTGAGTAATGTGCATGAACTGGATTAGAGATCGGCTGAAAAGAAGAAAATTATATAGCAAATGAACTGAATGGTATTACATAAATGTAAAAAAACAAACAATACATATAAATATATATATATATATAAATAAAAATATATGCATATATTTTCCAATTCAAATAAAAACGGTTACCAAATGTTAAAAAATCAACACTTTTTGTTAAATTATTAGATGTGATTGAAGGTAAATATGAAATTTAAACGATACACACACTTCATCGACCACACTAAAATAAATTACTGGGTTCAATTCTGAACATAACGGTGTTTAAGAAGCTCTAGCCAGAAGCATAACTGTTCTATTATTATTTATTGTTCCCAAACCATCGCCCCCTAAAAGGACTTCAATTGTCGGAAAACATAAATTATTAAAATTATGAAACATAATTTATTAATATCAATGTGCTTTTGCTTAGCTTAGACGCATATCTTAATCCCCTTAATAAATATTGAGGTAAAGTGCCTTAATCATAATAGAATGCAATAAAACACATGAACGACAAAATGCTTTGCAATTTATTGACCTTTATATCCCAAGAAAGATTCTGGCCTCCCCACTCATTAGTAGCTACGATAGCAAAATTTATTACTGAAGACAAACATCGCCCAGTTTTCTATAAATATGACAGACTTTTAGTCTACAAAATTATTTATTCCTATCCCAAATATATTGGTGTAACAAAATTCTAAAGAATTCAATACAACCATTTAAAACGTATTAATCTGTTTACAGTCACAAATTATTCGCATTTATAAGCACATAATTGCTACGTTCAACAATTTGGCCAAATAATTTATGCTGCCCCGGAAAATCTGCCCCTAAAACTGTGCAAAATTTCAGCATTCGCTTTATCATAATCAAAAGCGCTCAACTCTTGTTTTGGCGCCCGGGCTTTACCATGCAAATCGTAGCGCCAAATTGCTTAACCCTTTAAGGTTTATGGGACAAACCCAAGCTGTTGCTTTTGTTGCTGTCGTTGATGTTGTCGCTTACATTTCAAGCTGTGCCCAACAAATTATTTCCATATCAAGTTCTTTGCATTTCATCTCGAAAAGGTGCGCGACGCACAAAAATAGACAAAGCCGCAGACAGAGAGTGACAGACAGACACACACACGTATATTTATATATACTATATACATATATATTAGTATATAAACAGAAGTGCAGACAGACGAAACGGCGACGTGATAATATCAAGTGGCTTTACCGCAAAATGTTGCAAACAAAGAAAGGAATCCACACACCGACAAGCACACACACACACACACATATATAAATATACAGAAAAAGCCGCAAAGACACACACATACAGGTGGCCGACGGCAAATACCGAGAAATAGTGCTTACTAAGCATTAAAAATTATAATTAAATTTTAAACAATGAGACTCGGGCATGACGACGATTATGATGACTACAATGATGCTGATGATGTTGATGATGATAATAATGATGATGATGGCGATTATGGCAACGAGGTAGGCGCGTTAAGGACAAGGATATACGCGACACTATAAAGCTCTTAATCACAAACATGCGCAGCCACTTCAAAAACTACAGCAACAATAAAAACTACAACAACAAGAGTAACAACACCAATGCAGACGACAACAAGCATATCAATGGCAACAGAACCACAGCACAGTGGGCTAAATATGAAATTTAGGGTTCTTTAAATATCTAATTTGTATCGATCTCCCATGGCAAAACTTTAAAACTTAATCTCCGACAGATAATTAAATAAATGATTAATCAAAATAACCCCAAAAAACACTCTTTTTTTGCTAGAAGAAATCTTTGTGATCATTATTTATGGAAAGTTCCGATATTTATTTGCATTTATTTTATATTATATAAATATTTTATATAATTATAAATATGACGAAATTTGTAAATAATTGCGTTGATATTTTAATATATTATTTATTTAGTCGTCAAAAGGAAATCGCTTTTCTTTTTATACATTATACACGATTTTTAATATAGGTGTATATATAAAAACAAATTGAGTGGAGAAACTAAAGTCTCTGAGTTATGGAAAATCATTATTAGGGGGGAATGGAATGTATCAAAAAAAAAAAAAAAAAAAAAAAAAAAAAAAAAAAAAAAAATTCGCTTGCTTGCATGCACATTTTCACCCTGAATATACAACTTAACGGAATTCATCGTACATTTGAACTAGAAATTATGCAAACATTTCATACAAATCAGTAATATTTTTACATGTAAGAAAAGACATTTCTTAAATATGGAAAATTAATGTTTTTTATTTTAATTTAAATATTGACAACATGAATGAAAAATGTCCATTATCACCTTAATACAAGTATAAAGAGAATCACGTATTTTTAAACATTGAGCATTTTTTTTTAAAATTATTAATGAGAATATTTTTCTGATTTCATGGAATGGGACTGAAATATGTAAGGAATTATAAAGTGTATACAACTATTACGTAATCATTAACTTTTTCGATTTCTCGATTTTCCATTATTCCAGAATGCTTTTCAGAAATGAATGAAATGCGCCACTGTGCGGCGTTGCTTTTGTTGAGAAGGAAAAAGGCGCAGAGCTCTCCATGCTGGTCTGAGGCTGGAACTGAATGAAGCGCTGGCCTAGTGCTGGCAATGTTGGGGCTGCTTAGCATATGCGCATATAAATTAACATAGACACCGGAGTATTTAATTAAAATTCCATCAGCATACATACACAAACGCACACTAGTACATATACACTGTCACACACACAAACATACACACACATACAGGACTAAAGCATATGCACACATTTTAGCGCTAAGCCGAGCAAACGCCACAGCGACCGCCCAGCAGCCAACCAACCGAAACACCCACCTGACCGCCCGTTCGCCCGCTCGCCCGCCAGCCCACCCCTGTGCGCTCAAACAGAAAACCCAAAAACCATACATACACACACAGGCGTACATATATACATAAGTGTATGTGTATGTATACACATAAACGCACGCGGCCGAGCAGAACCTGTGGAACGCCTTCACTGCCGTAAGTCGCGTGCAAACAAAGGGACTGCTAGACCCTAAAGCATACAGAATCATCAGAGGGGGTGGCGCTGGCGGTGGTGGTGGTGGTGTTGGTGGTGGTGCTGTTGTTGGTCTTGGTGGCGAGAAGGGCGAAGCAACAGCTGAATTGTGCGGCGGTGAAGGTAACTAGGTAACACGAGGCGTGGACAACAGCCAGCGGCGCCAACGTCGATGCTGACTGATGAAGTGGCACTTGTTACGGTGGACGAAGACAGCAACAACAACAACAACAGCAACAGCAACAATACCTAGTACAACAACAGCAACAGCAACGACGACAACAAGAACGACAACAACGACGATGATGGCTCTGATCGTGATAAGCACGAATCGTAATTAAGTTGACGCGGCAAACGAGCATGGAGTAAGGAGATAGCAGCATGGATGGAGCAAGGTGACAGACATTTTGGTTTGGTCTGCGGTGAAATATGCATAACGTAGCAGCCCTTACAGCAGCTTTGGACCAATACAAACACATACATGCACATACGCACACACCCAAACATGTATGTATATATACACACTTAGGTACATGTCTATAGCAAAAACACTTCGTTGGTTAGCTGCAAATACGGGTCATAATTATATATGGATTTGGGCCCAAGTGGACGTGAAAGACGAACATGAGCCTGACAACGTTGACATTTAGCAGATTTGTGCGTATTTAGCTTAACAAATCCTATGCGGGCAGTAATGTGAAGACTAGGCTTTCGGATGGGCGCATAATAAACTAGGCACGTAGGGTTACAAAAACATTAACGTCAAAAACCCGGTTCACCGTTTTATGTCACGTCTTTATAGTCAACAGAGAACAGTTGAGAAAAGTTGATTTCAGTAAAATGTCTATTATCTCTAGTACCGGTCTCAATATTTTAAATTTCCTACGGAAATACCATAATAATAATACATACATACATATGTATCATATCATTGAAATAAAAAAATATATCGATTTGGATTCTGATGAATTTCTGGCATTAATATTTAATAAATCAACAGATTGTGCAGACGATATAGATTACTATATTATATTAAATTACAACAAAGATATAGAATAATATAATCAATCAACTTAAAAAATAAGAAAACCTCAAAAATTTCTACACAATATGTCTATTAATGTCTCCGACACGTAGGTGGAATTTTATTTGCCATTTGGCCAGCAAACTGAAAAAAAAATAGTTAGTAGAGGAGAAAACTTAATTCTACTTAAAAGCTATCTGGACGAAGTAATGAGCAGAAAGAAAAAAAGGACAATCTCCAACCGGGTGGGGGAAAATTTGATTGCCAGTCCAGCAAGCTATGCCCTGGACAGAGAAAGAGTTCTATGGAAAGTAAATGTGAAAGATCATTATAATTAGAACAAATGACCTTAAAACTTAAAATTGTGCGTAGAGTAATCAGCTTTGCATCTAGACAAGAAAAATGGAAAATAATTCTTTGTTGGTATACAGGGAACTGAAAAATTAAGTCAACCTAGGAGGGCCCAGCAGTCTGCCTCACCGATAGTGAGCTTGTGGAGAAAAATTACTCCAAGAACAGTAAGGTAGGAACTGTTAATGAATGAATTAAAGATGAATGTGCCGGTACACTATCGTAATGAAAAATCGCTTTCTTCGTGATCAAATGCCGCCATGTTTATTCCGAATTCTTGTCAAATCTGTCTAACCATTCGCCTTATTATGTCCCTGTGGCTTATTTCTTTTTCTGCAATAGGTTCATGGGGATAGTTTATTTGGAATTCCAAAAAATCTTAGCCTTTTGGAATAATTGTTCTTTCTTTGAAACAGATTCTCCCAGACAACAAGAGTCAATTTTCTCTTAATTCACCTAGGGGCTTGGATTCGAGCTGCGAAAAGAATCGATTCAGAATAGTTTTAATCAATGTTTAATAGTTTTGCTAAAAATCGACTTTTTTCGTATTGTTAATACTTATTTGAAATCATCATTTTTGTGAAATTACTTATGTTTTTACAAAGATTATAAACATGTAAAGACTTTTAAGGGAATCCTTTCTAAATAATAATAGTGGATGTAGGGGATTTAAGCTGAGTTAGTAAAATTTCTTACTATTAAGAATATGTCAAAACTC